CTTAGACTTCATCACAAACTGAATTCGCGGCCATTTTTGGAGCATTAGATATAACGTAGAAAGGAAGGGAGTTTTGAACTCTTCGAGACAGAATGGCTTTCCAGCCTGTCTCTGACAAACTTAAGTTTACTCAAACATTTTATAATGAATAGAAGTTCAAGAATTAAATACTTGGAAAGACAAAAATTTGAAATGATTTATAGCTTTGTGTTAGCTGAATTTTTTGCAATTTACTTTAGTGGAGAAACGAATTACAACACGTCTTAGAATGGAATCTAGATTTAGGACTATACATTCATGAAAATAGTGTTAGATGCTTGTAAATGTCGTGGAATTTCAATTATTTATTTTCCCTTTAAATCTTAGATCTTGATCCCTCGACAGGAGAAGACGATTAATTTATCATTTCTGGGGTATCCTCAATCGCAAAATTTAAGACTCCACGCAAAATGAACGAGATAAAGCTGCAAATAAACCATTCTGGATGCCAAGAACACACCGCGCGCATCAGACAGAACTGTTGTACTCTCAGGGGACAGAGGAATGAATGTTAGAGGGCAGTTTAAAATACGATTTCTTTTTTCTTTAGCATTTTTTTACGTCATCCCAAGATTATATTAATTGCTTGTGGCTAGGATATTTCAGCTCCACATCCATTTAAAAAAGGTACCAGTCGAGAGTAGATTAAAACTGAGGTGACACACCTTACTGATGGAAACACATGCAGAAGTGCGGTAAACTCTGCTCGAGTGTTTGCAAAAAACGACAGAGCTGCACCACAAGATTAAAATTGGTAAAGGTAAAAAGTGATCAGAGCCTTTCAAACTGAACCCTTCAACTACACCTTAACATCAGTATGTATATTCTCCATACTGTCTTTCATACTTTCCCTAAGGCGCTAACGAGTAGAATTTTTTTAACAATCAAGAACTTCCTAGGTTGGTGATCATTTCCTTTACTCTCGTGACCTTAATGCGTGATTTATGAGTGACATTGTAAGGAGAAACTAGATGCTACGGTTAATGAGCTTTCATTGACATTTTCCACTTCCCTGATTGGTCATTACTAATGACTGCATTGGTATTTAGTTTAATGAAACTGCTCAGTCCTGATACGAAAAAGAAGTCAAATCGGGTGAGTGTGTCGTAGGAAAAATTTTGTCACTGAAAGAAGGGAAAGAGGATTTCCATAGATATTTGTCAACTTATGAGGAGTTGTCCATAAAGTGCAATAAAGAGTTGTTCATCTAAACCCTCCCCCACCCCAACATTGACCCTGACTTGTTAATAGTTGACTATTGTGGGGTTAGGAGAGGCGTAGATGCGCAGTTGCACAGAGACTGACATTAATCCGTTCAATTTTTATCCTGATAATACATGAAAGAATCACGCGCCTCTGATTGGCTGAAACGAGCGCAATTTTCAAGTAACACGAGTGCAAAGTTGTAGCACGAGTGCAAATTACAAATGACGCGCGCGCTCATAAAATTTCGTCTGTCTTGATTTTATGTGATCTTTTTATATGTAAATTATTTATGAGTAATAATATGAATTGAGTGCAATTTGGTGTAAATAAACAGCCCATGCAGTTTTGTTGTGTTTGAAAAATTTACTGGTGCCTATTTAAACCAAATTTCTTTTGAATTCACATCAGTACCTATACTAACAGCAAAACAAATTTAAAGAAAATTGCCCAAATAAATGACAAGCGGCTTTTATGATATGTAAATTATATGGGAATGAAATTGGGAAATACGACTCATCTGACTTATTCTAATTACGACTTTCATGATCGATAGCATCATTCATGTTTTGACGACTGTTAAAACTTCCTTAGTCTTAAGTTGTAATGTATTTGACTAGTATGCGTTTGGAAGCCAGAAGAACCGCTTTATATTTAACATTCGGCTTTAATCTGATCCGCAATACATGATAAATTCCTTCTTTTTGTTTTGTTTTGTTTTGTTTTTTTTCACTTTTTCAACAACTTTTTTTTTGTATGTAAATATATCAATGACCACCTTTTTTTCTCCTTTTCGTTTATTTTTACCTTGCTTCATTCTCGCGGCCAATCTATGATGAAAATAAAGACTTGTAACACGGGGGATGATATCACAAAATTAAAGATTGAAATCACATCGAGTAATATCAAGGCATTATTATTCATATCCTATATTGTCAGCTCTTATAAGCTTTTGGCGTTACATACTAGCATGTACAAGCTGCCAGCTTTAATAAAAGTTTTGAAAATTGAAATTTTTTTTAAAAGTCAGTTTACATTCCAAATGTCTGGTATATCACATCCCTAACTTAGAAAGTCTCATGAATTATTACCTGTAATACGTAGGGTGCAAGCACTCACGCAGTTTTGTGACGACTAAAGAAAACAGATGATGTTTACCACAGAATGCTTTACCTCATTATGTATTAAAAGCGGATTTATTAAGAAAGCGTTTCAACCATCTGGTTATGTGCTAAGATTAGTTTATTTAGTTTGAGATCGGCAGGGAGACCGGC